GGGAAAAATTAGAAAGAGAAGAAAGAACTAAAAGGGGACAAGAGACCCAAAAGAGCATTCCCTAATCTTTGAGATGACCTCGGTTACTTGAAATCCCAAAGCATCCGAAGCTTAATCTTCAAATTTGCCCCTTTATTGTCAGCTTCAAGATTTGAAACCAAAAAGCACACCATCCATCCTAGTATCTCATTCAAGCTTCTTTGAACTTGTTCCCACTGCTAGAAAACTTCCGTCAAGGTTGTACATGAGAAGTAAGTCTCTCATTTTAACATTTAAACCTGAATTTGTAGTCTGTTTTTAGTTTATATCTGCATTGCTTGAGGTCCAAAAACCATGGGAAACTTTCATTTCCAGTTGCATTCAGATTGAGAAAAAGATGTAGGGAGGTGAGGGTCTTAGGGAAATCAATACTTAAGACCCGATAGCATCTCCTCAAATCAATCTTGGGTAAAGTTGGGAGTATTTTTACCTGATTTCAGGAGCTCTGAGCAACTATTTTTAGTGGTGTTTCGATAGAAATTAAACCTGAATAACTCTCTTTTTAGGTTGTTACATCAGCTTCGAGAGAGGTGTGACTAACACCTTTCCTCTCCCAATCCTTTCGGATTTACAATCTCTCAATTGTATGCTTTTTCCAGGAAGAGTGGAGTTACTATTAAAGACATAAATTAAATTTTCGAATCTGAAAATGAGATCCCATTTCCTCTAAGAAATGGGTGGCAACTCCATTTTTTGAGCCTGCCATTAACTTCCTGGAGCTCACACACAAGTTACCCGAGAAAGAAATATAAGAAAGCAAATATTTGAAGGACATAGATCTGTTTTCAAAAAGGCATTGTTTCTTTCTCCCTAAGGAGATTAATTAGCTTATTGATAAAAAGGCAGAGGGATTGATGGTCATTGTTTGTTTATTTTGATTGATGAAGATAATAAAGTGTATTTTTGGTTTTTAAATAATTTATCTCCTTTGTTCCAACACACAGTTTTAGGTGGTGTTCTATTTTAGGTATATTTCCTTTTCAAGGGTTTTAGATCTTTAAAGGAGATGGTTTTTGGGCCAAGATGTCAAGCCTATCTCTATTACCAAGGATTATGTCAAGCTTCTCCATAAGGTAATGTCTTCCTTTCTTGATCCACCTGTGTTATTGTTTTCTTAATCTAACACCTCAATAAAACACTTCATAGGTAATTATCACTTGAAAAACAAAATTTCAGGATGGCAGTTTTTTTCCTATGTTTTAAGACTCTTTTTGTTTAATGTCATCAGTTTCCTTTTCTCATATTTTTGGGGCCATAATTTATTAAGAGATTGGGATTTTGATTATGAAAAGGGTTTGAAGAAATTTAGTATAACAAAGTATTTGTAAGCGGATCGTTTGATAAGGTGTCAAAAACAATAGTTACCTATTATAATATCCATCAAATTGTTTTGCTGTAGTAGAGGGAGAACTTTTCCATGCCAAATTTCCAACAAACCAAGAAAAGTTGAGTTTTATGTAGTCATTATGGACTTAAGAAAGCCTGGTCATCAATACGAAAATTCATAGAGCAACACATTTTTGTAGATGCCAGGGAGTAATCAACACCATTCTACAAAGTATTGATAAGCCACTTTTACATAATAACAAATGTTGATAGCTCATACGCAATTTTGTACTTTTTTTTATTAACTTACCTATGTAAATAGGTCAATGAATGCCCTCTTATTATGAGCCTCTTATAAGATTTGAAGCTTCTAAGTTAAATGAGGGAGCCATCGAACTATGAATCTTAAGTTTCTTTAATTTAACAAATACAACCCACCTATGTTTTTGGAATTCGACTACCATCCCCCAAAAAGACATGATACCAGAAAAAATTATAATCAATCAACAAGCACTATAAAAGTAGTAACCAATCAGGTGGGATTTGATTGATCAAAATCTTTTCATGGCGTCATAGAATTTTCCATGTTTCTATCTATTTAGTCTTATTGACAAATTAAGAGCAAATTATTAGTACAAATTAACAATTAACAATAATTAATTATCAATACAAATTATTAATATTTTATCCAATATTTTTTCTCAAGGCAAATGATATAATATTTATATTTCCTTAGCCATATTCGATAATCAATCAAATTCCATATTTCAACATAGATGGAAGCCTTAGAATTCTTTTGCATTAAACTAACTAGAGGAACAGGGTCAAAATAAAGTCTGGGTTTATTTGATTAATGAGATGGTTTGCTGTATTTTGGGAGTTTTTCAAACATAAAATCCATTTGGAGAGACAAACAAAGAAAATAAAAACAGAAAAAAATATATGACATTATGAAACAAACAACAAAAATAAATAAAAGAATGAATGCACTCAATTTTGAAAGATGAGGTTTTCAGACATTTTTTGAGAGAGATAAAGACTTGAAAACATACTTTTCTGTGTCGTTCAAGTAGAACAAATGGAGCAGCTTTTTCCTTCAATGAAATTCACATCCAATCGGTTGTTCCCTTCAATGAACTTATCTTCCAATTGGTTGAAGTATATCAATCGAGCAAATGATTGAGGATGATGCTGAACCCCTTTCTCGTCTTTCTTCGATCAGAACCCAATTTATTCTCAAAAGAATCAAAACCCTAAACCTTTGGGATTAAGGGGAAACTCAAACTTTGTGCTTGTACCCAATTAGAAGAGGAAGGGGAGAGACGAACTCGGAAAGTGTAAACCTAAACTTTGAGATTTAAGGGGAAACTCCAAATCGAGGAACAAGTGATACTCCAAGTCAAAGACCGACAAAGGGGAGACTCAAACTCAATAAGGAAAGGGGAGACTCCATGTTGAAGAAGAAAACGCAGGAACTCTACGTCTAGCAAGTTACAAAGACAATAATAACAGAGCCACTTTTCAAAGTTTTTGTAATTTTGAACTGGTTCGGTATTGGTTTATGACCGGTTTAATTTAAAAACTGTCATTTTTAATTTATAAAATCGCTGGTCCATTTTGGCTTTTTGCTTAATTTAGCTCACAATCAATAGTGTTGTTAACAAATAGAAATACCTCAAATCATTGATGAAAAAAAACGAAACAAAATAGATAATCCACGATCATTGACTATTCAAGATATGAATAAAATAGATAATCATATAAATATTCACGACAACAATATCAAAATATATAACAATTTAAGCTCAATTATCTTAATGGTTTTTCAATTATAATGCATATCACAATTTTAACACAAGAACTATTTATCTTCCCCTAGATTATGAAGGGGATCCATTTCTCATTTAACTCCCTTTGTTTTGAATCTATATCTACATCAAAACTCCCCCTGAATCATGTGTGGGGAATACATTTATTTATCTCCGATCCCCTTGATGCATACAAATAGAGGATTTTTGCAAACATAATGGGAGTTAAAACTCCTCCTTTTCATTTGAGAGATAGAACTTCCCCTGTTTATGTTGAAAGATACATTCTCTTTATTGGTATCTTTTCCCATATTCCCTACAAAAATCATTTTCAATTCAAGCTAAAACTTCTCCCCCTTTTGTCATGAACAAAAAGGGAGGGAGCAGAGGGCTAAACAATATATCATGCATCAAACTGTAAATAACAAGATTTAAGAGCATATGATGAGAAGGGAACTTCAACATCATGGATTAACAAAATTTAAAGAGTTAAAACACCTTCTCTTTGCTTTGAACGAATAAAATGATTGGACCAATGATAAACTGTTTGACCCCTGAACCAATAACCAAAATAGTATTGTGACACCAGTGAAAGAGAGATGATCTTCGAACTAGGATGATGTTATGTGGTTGTGACCTGGGTGCAAGAAGTGCTTTGAGAGGAGAAAATCACATTTAGGCAAATCATCATTGAGATTGGATTTCCTGCCAACATGACCTCAGTGGAAGAAGCGCTCTGAGAGGAACAGATTCACATCTGGCTCATCTTTCACACGTATACTATTATTCATGAGAGATGTTCTCAATACACCGTGGGATGTGACTGGCGTGCAAGATGTTGCTGTAACCTGGGTGCAAGAAGCACTCTAGAGGAGCAGATGACATCTGTGCTCATCATGCACGAGATTGGAGTTCCTGCCAACGTGGGGGAAGAGAATCCATGACTGGTGTAAAAATGGTCCATACTGGGCCAGCATGGCATGATCCGCGGGCCATGCCTCCCTCCCTTGGAAAATTTTTGGGGGTCAGCCTGGCATGGCCCATGGCCCAAGCCCATGCGGGCCCATGCCCAGCTGATCTGGCTGGTCTGTGGGCCGAGCCATGGGCCAGTCCAAAGTTATTCATTTAAAAAATTGACAAAAAATTTAAAATTTTAATTTACATGAATTTTGATGTCTACAATTTCTTACATATACAATAATTAAATAAAATAGTATAATAAAATTGAAAATATTATTTATTTTATTAATATATTATATAATATATATTATTATATAATTATAATATATAAAATATATAAATATATATGGGCCATGCTGAGCCACGGGCCACAGGGGGGCACGGCATGATAGTGCAGCCCATGCCAGCTTGGCCCGCTGACCTGAAACCCCAAGCCCGGCACAGCCCACGGACCCATACAAATCGTGTTGGGCCACGGCACGGCCCGTGGACCATCGAGCCGGGCCGGCTCAAAAACGTGTAATATGCAGTATTTGGAAGAGAATATAAAACATCACATGAACTAGTATTTGGTAGGTTTAAAAGACTGACATGTTCAGATTTCTTTGGGGTTGCATGCGACAGCGGTCGCAGTAAATCTTCTTGTGATCAACTCCGTAGGCATGGTCCCCAATGTTAGGGTGTGGTTACAGCGGAGGTTTTGGAATTGAGTATGAATATACTAGTAACAAACAACGCTAATTAAATCAGTCGTTTTCTCACACTTTGTCCTCATCGATGAGAGTTTTCAAACAACGCTAATTATTTCTGATGTTTTGAGGACAGTGGTTCTCGTTCTCTTCAATATATAGACAGGGAGAGGGAGATTCTGCTCCTTGTAGGTTGCAATTTAGTTAGTGGCCACAGAATTGTTGGAAATGGGTAGAAGGCCGTGCTGTGTAGAAGAGGGGCTGAATAGAGGATCATGGTCTGCTATCGAAGATATGATACTCACTAGCTACATTAATCTCCATGGAGAAGGGAAATGGAGAGAGCTCCCTAAGAGAGCAGGTAAATTAATTAGCRACTGAAATTATTTGTTGGTTACATTATTTCTTCACCCAACACACTTATGCATATTTCATTGCATAGCCTGATGTCTTTTCTTGCAGACGATCGATAACGGTGGTTTCTGTTACTCTGTAGGTTTGAAACGTTGCGGAAAGAGTTGCAGGCTCCGATGGTTGAATTATTTGAGGCCAGATATCAAGAGAGGAAATATTTCCAAGGATGAAGAGGATCTCATCATCAAGCTTCATAGGCTTCTTGGTAACAGGTCTCTCTCTCTCTCTCTCTCGATCTCAGTTGAACAGAAGGCAATATTGGGTAATTATACCTGAAACTTTTGGTGTTTCAAGAGGCTTGAGGCTTCATATGGTACTTCCTAATATTTCCATTCATTTGCAAGAAATTATGAGATTTATTGCTTAAATCATTTATCCCTTCGTGCAACTCTGAAGTGCATTCTCAGAATATAATAATGGACTTCTGCTTTTGCAGATGGTCCCTCATAGCCGGAAGGCTACCTGGACGAACGGATAACGAAATAAAAAACTACTGGAACACCAAACTGAGCAAAAAAATTCAAGGCCAGACGCCAAAGATACGGATTAACGGATCTGTAGAGAAGAAGGCTGCAAGCGAATCCTTCGTTAGCTCAGAAACTCCTCCTGTAATCAAACGAAAGCCTCGAGATGCACTAGGGTTTTTCTCCCACGGCAAGAAGGAAACGAGATAACGAAGAAGAATGGAGAGTCTTCTCGGGACTGCAGCAGGCCATCCTCTTCATTCCAACAAGTGGATGATGATTCTTTGGATATGCTGGTGGGTTTTGACATGAACGAGCTGCTTTTCATGTCGGATGATCTGAACTCCAATTGCTTACAGATTTGTAGCGATGGGATTCGGGGAAGCAGTAATTTGGTCACTGGAGAGGATGGTTGGAATAACTCTTCTTGGTGTTCAGATGATCCCTTCTCAACTGGTACTGATGTAATGCTTCAGGGTGGTTCTGGTAATGAAGCAATACTTGAAAATTGCAGTATTGATACTCTTCAACCTGATGAAGCTTTGGAGCTCAAGATGCTGGCTTCTTTTCTCAGCTGATTGCATCGATAGAGCACTAATATCTTCCTACGTACAAAACTGGAAATAAATTTCTCGGAACTGAACTCTATTAGGCTGTGTTTTGCTTGATAGAAAATAAGATAAACTGAAAGTTGAGCTGATGAGGGAATGTTCTTAAACAAAACTTCATCTCAACTTTCTGTTTCTCTCCTATTTTAGTCTTAACTAGTCTGTCGTTTTATTTCTTTCCGGCAAGATAAAAGCTGTTCTTGTCGGCATGGAAAGTCCCTAGTGTTGTCTTCTAAAATGAACCCTAAAAATTTCAGCAAGAGATTTCATTCGTTGAGTTGTTCAATGTAATTCTTAACTTCTTTTTTCATAAACTCTTCAATTGAATCGTTTCATCAACCTAAAATAATTGTCAACCAGTAGTTCTCAATATGGTTATTATTTTTTGTCATAAAGTATTGAAAATTGCTAATAAATGATAATTCCAAGTAGTTAGACATCCCTCTATGGAGTCCAAAATCAATATAATAGAGTTCATGCATTTTGCATCATTATTCGTGAACCATTTGGCTTTACGTTAGCTTTTCTTTGTTATTTCTATGGAACCCGTAATCACTTAATCTTACATCTCAGTCTGAGGTTTCCTATTATTTTCTTCATCTTAGAAGCCTGTGGTAGAGTTCTTGCATTAGAAAATGATAACTCATCACTGAAATCAAGAAGAAAAAAGGATTTTTGTTTTTTGCAAAATTTCATTCAATCCTTGAATGTTCTGTAGATGTACATATTTTATTGTTTTCTTTTTTGCAAAATTCATTTAATGCTTAAATATTCAGTAGATCTACATATTTCATTTTTTTTTTTTTTTTTTTTTGTATTTGGAGCCACGCACAACTAATAACCCCTCTTTTTCCCAAATCAGTGGCTGCTGGAATCGATTTCATGTCAATGCTGTAGCGAACCAGCTAACATACCAAACAAGCCACACATATTTCATCGTTGAAATGCAAGGATATGTTGATTTGTTGTTGGACATGTGGTGTTTCCTTTTTTGTATATTAGTAGATATTATGGATTTTCTGTAAAAATAGGATTTAACAAATATATAAAAGTAATTTACTTTTATATTTTAAAATGGTTTTGATAGGAGAAAAGTAAGGAAAAGATGGATCTATGAATGATCTAAATAAAATCCATTAATCCATCAAAAGTTCCTGTAAAAAATGTCTTTTCAAATTTTTTAAGTAATTTACAGAAATAAAATATAAATATAATAATTATTTTAAAAATTAAATTTTATTAATTACATGACATATGTCTCTTAGAATTTCCAATGGGTTTGATATATTTTTTCAATTGAGGATATGTATTCCTATGAAATTTATGTCAACCACCCTAATAATAAAATTTTATTTCTTTCTTGGATGTACATAGAGGTTGTAGAAGTTTCTATCACTCTACCATTGTGGCCTAATCTCATTTTACCTATTGAGTGTGAGAGATAGATGTGAACAACCATGTCTTTTCCCTTAAATTAAACTTGAAAATGAATTTAGCCAATGACCTAGTATGTGTTTGGTACCGTTTATGTTTATTGAATAAACGTTTGTACTTTATTTACTGGTAAAATCGAGAAGTGCAATAATTGCAATCATTTATGACAACTGGGCGCCACTTCAGTGTAACGGTGAATAAACGCCTGGCCGTTTGTGGAAGCTTAAAAAAATAACTTCTACAAACGGCTGGCATGCACATAAACCAAAGTTCACTTTTTACATTTTCGATGTATGCAAAAGAGTGAGAGAGAAAATGCTGATATGGCACCTATGTGGCACCGTCAAGAAATGTTTACTGAATAAACATAAACGTTACCAAGCATCACCCTAATGATCCATCTGGTTGAACCATTAAATCTTTTGAAATAATCAATGGGTTGCAAGTTGGACATTTGATCCCCTTTTTTTGTATTTTTATCTTTTAGTCATTTTCCATCATTAATAACAAAAGCCTCATTTACTATAATTATTTTTGTTTAACATAATGAATATAAAATATAATAGATGTGAGCTCTGAGAAGCTCATGGCCAGTTCAATGACATGGAGTCGCCACCCATTTTTTAGAGGAAATGGATCCTCATTTTCAAATTCGAAAAATGATTTACTTGCCTCGATAGTGACTCCATCTTCCATGGAAAAGGCACACAACCGAGAGATTTTGGGTCACAAGGATTGGGAGAGGGAAGGTATTAGGCACCCCTCTCTCCAAGCTATTGTAGCAGCCTAATATGTGAGTTGCTCAGGCTTTCCTTTGGAGCAAAATAGAAATGGTTGCAAGAATTTCTTAAATCCAAAGGAACATGCTTTTAACTTCTCCTAAGACCGATTTTGAGGTGATGCTATCGGATCTTAGGTACTGATTTCCCTAAGACCCTTGCCTCTCTACCTCTATTCTCAACCAAGAAGATATTGTAAACAATGGTTATCTAATATTTCAGAACCTCAAGTAATCCAGAAAAAGCTAAAAAATGACTTACCTTTCGTATGTACCTTGTTAAAAGTTTTCCAACAACTGAGACGAGTTTGAATGAGATATTGGGATGGATGGTGTAATTTTTGGTTTCAATTTGTATAGCTAAAAACAGATGGGCAGATTGGAAGTTTGATCTTCAAGGACTTTGGGATTACAGAGGTTGGAAAAATTCTATTTTCTCTTCTTCTTCTCCTTTAGGATTCTCCCTTTATTTTTTCCTCTCTCTCTGGGGGCCTCTCTTGGGTTTCCTTCCTCTCTTTAAGCTCAAATTAGATCAATATTTATAGAGAAAGGGAGGGGGTCTGGTCTGAATTCGCTCAACTACAGTGCTTGGGATTTAACAGAGATTTTTCACAAAAATAGGTAAAGATCCTTCAAAGAAATAGATGCCTAGTCAAGGCTACCTATTTGGAAACATTTTCTTTATTTTGAGGGTGGATTTCATGGGTTTTGTGCGTCTAATGGGAGCTTGGGGCGTGCAAGACGTTGCAGCCCCGTATTTGGGGCTAATAGTGGCAAAAAACATAAATTTGATGAACTTTTAAATGTTATTTTGTCTCTTATTGGTTTTAAGTGGAGGTATATTTGGGTTTTTGGGCTTTTTGGTCTATTAAATTTTATTTCATTGGTCCGAGTGTTCTAATGGGCTAAGAATGGGTTTGACATCAGCCATCACCCTTTTGGGACTTCAGGTTGGAATGAATGACATGGTAATTTAATTTTGTGTGTTGAAATGGTATATTTCTAGTTTAACAATCAAACGGATGAATCTAGTCGTGAAATTTGATGTGTTAGGGTTTTTCGGGTCTCTAGAAATTGTGGTGGTGTCTGATTAGTCAAATATGGTCGGAATGATAGAGATCTATGGCTGACAAGTTCGGATCAATGAGATTTGTTGAAATGAAATCTTTGTTTGACGATAGTCCAAACGGGGGAATTTTGAGCTACAATTTGGTGGGTAGGCATGGATTAAGGGGAAGAGGCAGGTGGATTGTTCTACTATGGGAAAAATATGATCATTCTAGGCCATCAGAATGAGATCTTGATGTTTTTCAGGTTGATCATCGTAAATTTGTGGTGGGATTCACTAGTTGATTGTTTCCTAGTGATCTTGGTGTGATGGGTGTGTTGGATTTGATTTTAAGGAGTTAGAGTTTGAATATCACATAAATCGGGGCCGTTAGAAGGGGGATTGGCATGATGAACGGTGGATCTTTGTAGTTTAGTCATGAAAATTAATGTGTAACTAAGTTGTGGTTTTCCAAGTTTGGGGATGACGTCTGATTAAGGTTCTTATTTTTCCTGTGGATTGTATCAAATGAGGGTATTTTGGGCTTTGGAAAGTGTCAAGTTGATCTGGTTATGTTTCTATGTTTTTTGAGGGTCTAAGAGAGGTGTACCAAAGAGGTAAGGTGAAGGGGCCGAGCAAAAATTGGGTGATAACAATAAACATTGTCAATTTTTATGTAGACACACAACACACATGCAAATTTTATAAATAAAAAATTTAACACTTCATCTTTATATAAATTTATTACCTATAAGTTAAAAAAATAATTAAAGTTTTAAAACTTTTTTATTTTTTAATTTTATAAACAATGAAGTTTCCATAATATGACTATTGGCTTTGGATTCCGATGTGGCTGAATCCCATCCGACTCCAACCCAATTACAACCCTAAAGACATGGCCAATTTTCTGTAATTTTTCTATGTTGCATACTTATCTCTTTTTATATTTTCATTATATGATTAATGATGTCATGGGCGTAGACATTGAAGGCCTACCATGGGCCAAGATAGTTAAATTGGTAATATAGACCCAAACCCTTATCATATGAAATATAGATTAATGTTATACTAATCATTTCTTTGAATTATTGTTTTTGTATATGTAATATTAAAATTCAAAAAACATAGAGTACTTCATACTTTATACTATTAGATTAATAAAAAATTAAAATTTGAAGAGAATTACTATAATAAAGAATATTTTCATTAAGGAGCTAGTAAAATTAATTGATTTATTTATTTTTAATATTATTAGGCATTTAATATTATATTAATGTTTGAGTTTAGTTTTGTATATTAAATAAAATTTCTAATATAATTGAGTAATGAATTAATACTGAATTAACTGAAGGGATATTTAATAAAAATTTCAATTAGTGGCATTTGAGTTTTTCTCTTAATTACTTTTATCTTTTAAAATTTAAAAAATACAAAAAAAATATATGGGTTTAGGGGAGTGGAGAGTAGGGGTAAGCATTCGGTTTATTCAGTTAAAAACCGAACCGAATGAACCAAAATTTTAGAAAATGAATTAAAAAATTTAAAACCGAGCCAAAACCAAATTAAAGGAAAACCAAAATAACCTAAACTGAAATTTTCGGTTTGGTTTTCAGTTAAAACCATATTTCAAAAATATATATACGATATTATATATTATATATATCATAACATGTAATATATAAATATATATTATGAAATCAAATTTTATTATATTATATATTAATATATATAAATATATTATATATTAAATATGATATGTTATATACTATATATTATATATTACATGCTATATAGCATAGTTGGATTAATTTGATTTTTCGATTAACTGAATTTCTAATTCTGAAAACCAAAATATTTAAAGAACCAAAACCGAAATGTTTGATTCAGTTTTTCAGTTTTAACCAAATAATGCTCACCCCTAGTGGAGAGAGGTGCATTCCTATTATTGATTCAGAAATGGATACAACTCATAGACAAACCTGTGAAAATTTCCCCTTCTGAGCCAATAAAATACTCAAATCCTTTGTTTTTAATTTGGAAAAATCTATCATAATGAAAAACATGATATC